TAGTTCCTGACGAAAGTCCGCCTCATTTGCGAATGATTTTACGCGAAGGTGGTTGCCCAGGAAATGGAAGACGTGGTAATCTGTTAGCGCAAGGTCCGAGGAATAAGTTGGATGGCACAGTGCATCCCAGCCAAGTCGCCATATGATATCCCATAAACAATTCTGGCTCCTTCTGCTTCAGTTCCTGTTGCACACGTTCCAACTTCTGCGACTGTAGGCCTTCAGTGATGGTTTGGCCGATCGCTATGAGTATAGTGCAATACCTTGGCATCTAGTCCACCAGACACAGAGTTTGATCTTGCGTGGGAGCTTGGGAGTGTCATAGAGGATCCACCTTTCGTCACTAGTGAGCACTTGATCAAATAGGGGTACGTTGCGGTACCGAGAAAGCAACGAGAAACAGGGTGTCACTCGTTGTCGTTTGTTGACTTTCGGCAGTGTGTGGGGTACCCACTTGCTCAATTTGTACGCCTCCCCTATGCGGTGCAGGTGAAGTCTTGCTATTTCATCACAAACACGGAAGCGTTCTGCAAGCTCACCAGAGGGTTAGCTGTCGTTCTCCTCTATGACCCCCTTTAGGTCCTCATCATCCAGGACCCGTGGCCGGCCACTGCAGGATTCACAAAGAGACAGATCTCCCGACCTGAACTTCTGGAATCAATGCCTAGCAGTGCGTTCACTCACAACATTATCCCCAAAGCTTGATGTGTTCGCCGAGTTGGGGTTTAGCATAATATAAAATCAAGAAAAGTGTTTAACTTTGTATTAGGCAAACGATGCGGCGTTCGTTGTAATTCGGTCCCTGATGCAATGAGAGAGGTTTGGCTGTTTTCCTCAATCTGTGGTCCCTTTTATGGCCTCATCATCCAGGATCAATGGCCGTTCAATGCAAAAATCTTCGCAAACGTACAGTTCTCCCGACCTATAATTCTGCAATCAATGCCTAGCGAAGCGTTCACTCACAACATTATCCCCACGGGCTTGATGTGTTCGGCGATTTGCTGCAGCTGCGGACAAGCCCACCATAAAGACATAAAGCAGACAAACCCGAACTAATTGCTTCGATACCGCCATGTTTTCACACCAATGCTCGAGCTATGACTGATATTTGTGTGCAAGGAACCTGCATTGGTCAAGGACAATGCCACACCCACACCGCTTTTCTACGTCTTCAGTTTTGGTTCTCCAATGTTCGGTTGCTTATTTCTGTTGCGACAGTCTGTGAGATCCGATGAAGAATAATCTTCTTTAAGCATCCCAGGTTTCAATTGCTTGAAGCCATTTTTAATCATTGATTTGAGAAAACGGTTGCATATAGCTAGATCTAACGAGCCTATTTAAGAATATGACTTTAGTTCTTAGGTTGATGTTTTAGTTTTGTACCATCTTGTGTGAAAGTAACGTAGCCTATTTTATGTTCATCCTCATCTCCTATACTAAATTTGTTATAACTGATCCATTCACCGAAGTATTTGAATTGTTTCGTATTTACTAATTCCACATTCTAAATTGTTATGATAAATTTAGGGTAGGTGACATCACTGCTTTTATTCTAATTTCAGGTTATAATTTCTGTTGAAAAGTTTATCGGAAGTCCTACTACTTGGAACACTGGGTAAAAAATGTTGAATTTTACTTCAAGAACATTCCAATCCCAGCAATGTTCCAATCGAATGCAAGAATTAGGTTTTAGATTTTCGATTTCATTACTCCCATTTTTTGGTTTCAGTTGCGTTCCGTACATTTCTCTTTCGTTCTCGAGGCTCGGAAAACAAGGAATATGTGTTTGAGTTGGCGTTTAGCATAATATGAAATCGAGAAAAGTGTTTAACTTTGCATTAGGCAAACGATGTGGCGTTGTTGTAATTAGGTTTGGGTTTGGGCTGCACAGGAGAACCAAGTGTGATTCCCAGCGGTCATTTTGTACTTCTTAAAAGAACTTTCTGCAATTGTGACACCGAAAAATAAACGGTGCAGTAATCAGCCGGCAAAAAAAACTGTTTATTCATCAGATACATTATTTTTCTGACGTGAAAATGATTGGGGCGTTGAAGGGCGTCATATGTTATTGCGACTGAGAGAGAGAGAGAGAGAGAGAGAGAAATAAAGTGATAGAAAATAGGAAGGAAGGTGAGAGGAAAGATAAATGAGAGAGAATGTTGTTGAAAGAGAATTAATAGATACGAAAGCAAATGGCGAAAGAAAGAGAACGATGGAAAATAAAGAAAAAAAAGAATAAATATAAAACATGAAACAAAAAGACATTGGGTTATAAAGATATCGGAAGAAAGAGAGAATGAAAAATAAAGAAAAAGGAGAAGAAGAACAGAAGAATAGAAAAAGAAACGAAAGATGGAAAGAAATATTAATAAAAAAGGCAATAAAAAGGATAAAATGTGTAGGATATGAAAAAAAGAAAGAAAGAAAAATCAGAAAAACAAGTGTGGAAATATGTATAAAGAAAGGAAACTCCAAAGAAAATAGAAAGAAAAAAAGAAAATTAGGATAAAAGAAAAAAGAAAGAAGAATTCAGAGAAAGAAAAAAGAAGGAAAGAAAATCACAAAGAAAGAAAGAAAGAAAGAAAGAAAGAAAGAAAGAAAAAGGATAAAAGAAAAAAGAAAAATACAAAGAAAGTAAGAAAGAAAAAAGAAAGAAAGAAAAAGACAACATAAAGACAAAAAGAAAAATACAAGGAAAAAAAGAAAGGAAAAGAAAACTAGAAAGAAAGAAAAATACAAAGGAAGGAAACAAGAAAGCAAGAAAAAGAAAACTAGAAAGAAAGAAAGAAAGAAAGAAAGAAAGAAAGAAAGAAAGAAAGAAAGAAAGAAAGAAAAAGAAAGCTAGAAAGAAAGAAAAAAATATAAAGAAAGAAAGATATAAAGAAAGTAAGAAAGAAAAAGAAAGAAAGAAAAATACAACTAGAAAGAAAGAAAGAAAGAAAGAAAGAAAGAAAGAAAGAAAGAAAGAAAGAAAAATACAAAAAGAAAGAAGAGGAGCAATAATAAAAAAATTAACGCAGCAAAATTCACAGAAATTCTCAAGAGAAAGAAAAGAGTTTGGAATTGAAAAGAAAAATAAAAACAAAAAAGTACCGAGCATACAAATGAATCGAACCTCAGACGTTTGGATTGCAAGGTCACTCCTCGTCAAGATGACTACCTCAGATTAACTTAGTCACAAGGCCTCATTGCAGAATCCAATACAGTAACAATGTTCAAAGATTAACTTTTACAGGTCGTCAGAAAGAATACCAATGTGACCTCCGATCAGTAGATCAGATGATGGCAGGTAGGAGAGAGAAAGTGGAACGCTATTAATTTAGGTATCTAATTAATTTATTGGTAACTTTCTTATGAAATTTTATCAAAACTGTACATAAAATACAAATTTAAATTTCATAAGATGATAGTGATACTTGTAGGTACGCTTCTCATTTGAAATTGAAAAATCAAATTAACTTCTTCACGCGTGTTTCGCAAAAATAAATCTATCTCAAAAGGACATTTACGAAACTGAATGCAGTTTTTAACTAATTCTATAATATTTTAACAACTTAAATGTAAAAATCTATTATAATTAAAGAAATAACAAATAATTGTATTAAAAAGTCAGTATTTAAGTTAAATACTAGACAGAAACTCAATCCACGTGACGTTTTTTATGATACTTCCGGTCTACCGTAGATTTGATTTACAGTGTTATTATTAACACAAATATTTTTTTATAAACCGTTGTTCGTTAGCTTGTAAGAAGCTTTGGAAATTATAATCTGTAAATATATATCTACTTAATAACAACATTCGTTAAATTCTACAAACCTTTCCCTAATTTTAGAAGAATCAACAACATAATGTAAAAATAATAAAATATTTCAGAAATAACAAATAATTGTTTTAAAAATTCACTTTTCATCGAAATATCTTTTTGCTTTCAGACAATATTGTCCATGTTCATTAAAATAAATAAAAGCAATTAAAAACTTTTGAAATTAAATAATATTTTTGTTTTATTGAGTTTTGTATATTACAATTCAGAGATGATTTTCAGGCGGAGGTGGTCCAACTAAAAAAAAAAAAAAAACATGATTTAGTTTCCTCAAAGCCTTGTGCTTTTAACTAATATAATCAATAATCTTCACAAAATTGAAATTATAGAGTTTTCGTACAATTAGTTAGGATAATACATATGAAAAAAATTTTGCCATGACTTTAAACAAGGAAAACATATTTATAATAAGTTCCACCATTTGTGAATAGTTTCTGAAAGTTTCATTGAAATCCGACAATTATTTTTATTTTTGAAAGTTTTTCAAAATTAATGTCTGCCATACAGAAAAAAAAACGCACTAAAATTTTATGTTATTTTTCTAGTTCCGGTGATGCAAAGAGAAATAAGGTTTTTTTAATCAAAATTTAGATTGTTTTAAAAAGAAAGAGAATTTTTTAAAATAATCAAAAATTACTTTGATCTTTCCTCTTAATAATAACATAAACGTTTAGACGCTAAAATTTTGTTTTCGTCAAGTTTGGCGTCTTTTTCATCATGCTATGCTCTGTTTTTAGCGATCTCATGAAGGTACCTAACTTAACGGTTTATTGATACATTGTGAGTCATTGTTAAGTCTGACACAAGAAGATAATGTGTAGTACTCAGTGAAAAAAAAAACAATTGACGATAATCGTAATGTTCTGCTAAGATTAATTTGATACAATAATCTACAAGTAGATACACCGTGTTTAGCTAAATCTGGCACAAGGCTGAGGCATGCAATGAGATTACATCACTAACTATTATCTTATAGCGAGAGACCTACTTATATCTATATACGTGTGTATAAAATATAATTTCGATTTTTAAGTTAAAAAAACCCCGTTGAGAAGACGTACTGGGATGGCCAAAAGCACATTCTGGACAGAGTATTGTGAGACAGGAGGATTTCTTCGGTAACAAAAAAAAAAAAAAAAAAAAGAAAAAAAAAGAGCACTGAGCTTTAAAGCAGTAAATATTGGACGGTCCCCTCAAAGATGAAGAAGAGGCTCCAGGCAGGGAGATATGGTTCTACAGAAGGACGCTAAGGATATCATGGACCGAGCGTGTGAGCAACGATAAAGTTTTGGAGAGGATGCAAGCAAGGAGGAAGCTTATTCTTAACATCAGAAAGAGGCAGCTGAAATTTCTGGGACACGCAATGAAAAAGGAGAGCTTGGAGAATCTGATACTCACAGGTCGAATAGAGGGAAAGAGAGACAAAGGAAAGCAATGCGTGACATAAGTGACGGGCCTAAGCTAGTGGATGACAGAACGTGGTCTGGGATAGGTGGCAGAGGGACAAAACTTATTGAGAGATACAAGGGAGAGGAGGAAGTGGAGGGCCATAATCATCTACGTCCTGAAGGGACACGGCAGATAAAAAGAAAAAAGTTGAGAACGTTTTATGAGTTTTGGTTTTCCAAAACCAAGTTTTGGTTCACCACTACTGTGGCCTGTCATTGAACTTACAGCTCGCGGAGTCTAACCACTGGATCTAATCACTGGGCCATGTGTCCTTGAGGACATCTGGGCATGTATTTATAGGATATAAACCTAATGTCTCAGCAACCCTTTTTTACCAGTGCTCATACTGCAATTTTTCTGTTGCTATAATTGCATTTTTTGCCAGAGCTTATATAGCAAACTTGGAGAGTTGCGTTAAAGGCATGGTACGTGGAACTAGAACAATCTACCCCAGTGGACGAAATAATGGGTTCGGTTCAAAATTCCAATCACCTGATGAAGGCCGGAGGAAACAACGACCGAAACGTTGTGAATATGGCAATGAAGATGATGATAACCGTCCGAATACGGTAAATAGTGTAACTAATCATAAACTTCATCTCATAGACATAGGCAGATATTAATAATTTTTATAATTTTTCTTTTAATTTTATTTTCACTCCATTTTCTGAAACCTGTTAATAATGAATGCACAATAACGCAAAGTGATCTTCAACCTGTCGACAACTGGAACAAGGAAAGGATTGTTAATTTTAACGCCTCAAAAACAAAACTGCTCACTATTAATCATCTGAGAGACTCCCATCAGCATAATCTATAGTCACTTTCTCACAGACCTGAGGTGGCTTCCCTCTGTCTTTTCTACAAATATTTTCATGACAACTACTCTTATGAGCGACATTCACTGGTGACCTATCTGCATGAATTTAAGCGTGCTACTAGATTGGCATCACAGTTCCAGCCTTTCACTGGCGAGCAGTTAAATGCAATTGCCTCTTCTATTCCAACAGCTTCTTTCTTGCACTTCCCGACAGTGGAACTCCCTTCCTCCTACTTGCTTCCCTGATAGCTGTAATCTTCAAATATTTAAATGTAATGTCAATCGACATTTTCTGATACCTTGATCTTGATCCCCGTCCTTCTCTTTATCCTTTCCTCAAACACCCCTCTTTACTCTTGCTCTCACTCACTGTAATCCCTTGCGTGCTAGTGGTACTCCTGTCTTGCTTGGGGTGAAATACTTTAAAAAAAAACGTTTCCTCTCCTCTTTCAGTTTAATCTGATTATTAAAGTAGCCATTCTTCTATATTATTCTACCTCTGTCCCATAATGATTTTTCCATTTAGTGTATAAAATGTGTACGTAAATGGAACAATCATTATGGGACAGAGATGGGAACTCTCTTCCTCCTATTTACTTCCTGGATAGCTATAATCTTCAATTATTCAAATGTAATGTCATTCGACATCTTCTGATGCTTTGATCCTGATCCTCGTCCTTCTCTTTATCCTTTCCTCGAACACACCTCTTGCTCTCACTCTCTGCAACCCCTTGCGTGCTAGTGGCACTCCCGTCTTGCTTAGGGTGAAATGCTTTAAAAAGAAAACCTCCAGGAGAGTGACTCTTTGCACCTTTTCGGGCTAACGTTCTCTGCTGGCATGAAGAGGAAAGACTATACTGAATCAATTGCTAGACCCACTGCTAGAAAAGTTGGTTCAAAGTGTCATGCTAGACATTTTTCTCTCCATAATCTATCTTATATATTTATAAATCTACCATTCGTCCATACTTCGAATATTGCTGCCATATATAGTCAAGTGTCCCTGCTATTATTTAGAAATTCACGATAAAAGAAGAATCTGAAATCCTGACCTGACATCTCGGCTTCAGTCTCTTTCTCACCAGTGTCATGTAACTTCCTTGTGCCTTTTCTATAAATACTTTCATGGTAATTGTTCTGGTGAACTCTCCTCTATGGTACCTATATTTTATAAATTTAAGTGCAGTACTAGTTTGGCGAAAAAATCCCATCATTTTTAAAGTTGAAATGGCCAGCTGTAACCGTAAGTTCTATGCTAGCAGTTTCTTTTCTCTCACTTCTTACTTGTGGAACTCTCTTTTGGCTTCTTGCTTCCCAATCAATTTTGATCTTGAAGAATTTAAATGCAATGTCAGTCGCTATCTACTGTCTTCTTGATTTCTCTTCTTTTATTGTTCTCACTCCTTAATAACGATTTTCTTTTTCTCTTTCTTTCACACTCAGTAATCGTCTTAGTGGCTTCATTGCCTTGCTTGAAGTGAAGAAAATATTGGTAGAATCAATTGTATTTGCCAAAATCTGAAACACACAATTGTACTGGGGATTATTTCATCTTATATAATAATAATAATTATAATAATAATAATAATAATTATTATTATTATTATTATTATTATTATTGTAGCTCAGGACCAAAGCATCACAACCAGATCCTATCATTGACACATAATTAAGGATGGAACTAACCCGAAATACAGGATCTGCGGAAAATATGATGGGGACAAGTTAAAGAGGGGTGGGGGGCACAAGGTCAGAATTAAAAATATACTTGTGTGTATGATAAATCGTTGTCTCTGTTTTGAGTGTTGAAGCGGACGGTGGGGTCGGAGTTGAAAGTGTGTTTGTGGGTATGTCTCGATTAAATAGAAATAACTTCATACCCACAAATGTATTTTTAATTCTGACCATGTGTCTTTCTTCTCCCATTTAACTTTCGGAAAAAAAGGTAATGTTTTGTTTTTAAATTTCCCTATGAAATCATTTTTATCACCAGTTACCAACCATCGCCCGAGGAAGTACAATCATAGTATTGAAATATGCAATCTATTATAATAAAAATATTCTAATATATGGCGGGCTCTCCCGTCGTATTCGACGTATGAGGGTCAAGCAGCTTAGATCCAAGGAACCGACAGCAAACGCCAGCATGATTTGATTACAATGGTGAAGGCTTTATGCAGAACCAACCACACTTTAAACAAAAAAGTGTGGATTCTAATATATATATATATATATATATATATATATATATATATATATAAGAGAAAGAACAAATGGAGTAAAAATCCAGTTCGTTGCATTTACTTTTTAAAAAGTGCTCAATGCAATCATCATTTTTATCACTAGTTACCAACCATCGCCCGAGGAAGTACAGTCATAGTATTGAAACATGTAAGCTTTTGTGTAGCGATGTAAAATGTTTTTATTATTATCTATTATAATAAAGATGATCATAATATTAAAACTTTCTAACAATTGCCGCCATTTTTGGCCGCAGAAGTACACCAGTAATAATAACAATAATACAATGACATGAATCATAATCTTTAGATGTGGATATGTAATAAGCTTTGGATTAAAGCGAAAATACATTTGATACACCCAAACAAATATTTGTATTTATAAAATATAAACTCTTTCATCTTCGAAGATATAACATATGTGTTCGTCTTCCCTATAGAATGGCGCAAGCTAGAATTGCAACGCCCTTAACACACCGAATAAAATGTACCGAAATCATGGCTGGATGAATAAAAACGGTTAGACCTAGAGATCAATACGTTCACAGGTTGTAAAACAACTGTTATACTAAAAATACTAACAGCTCCATATTAATATCACAATATTAAACTGGGTAATGATGGTGACTTTAGGCAACAGAGATGTGGTTTTTATAGAAGCGAGAATGGCGGCGAGTATCTAATTAATGGTTTTGCACGAATGAATAACGGAACAGAGGGGCAAAGAGGGCAGCGATTACTTAGAGAAACAAAAGGCAAGAATCTATAGACATGATCAAAGGAACGAGAACAATCTACCTTCGTTGATTAAATAAAGGCTGAAGTTTGAAATTCCCTGAAGGTTACCCGGATCGACAAGCAACTGATGAAAGCCTGAGAGAACATTGGCTGAAACGTTATCATAATTGTCCCGGAAAGGGATATATTTGAACGAAGTAGCTAAGTGGTTTTGGCTACTATAACCAAGTAGAATACGATAGCAGTAATCGACTGGTACGCGTCGTAGTCGCAGGAAAGAAGTGTAGATCAATGGTGTAGTCCAATCGGCGTCGTTATACATTTAGCTCTCAGACTAAGGCTCTCTTGACTCGCCTACACGTCCGTCTGTATTTATGACGGACACCAGCCAATCATATTCCAGTGAGGGGGGAACACAAGTGTATGCATATTCCATTATATCAATATATATATATATATATATATATATATATATATATATATATATATATATATGATATGTCTAGGAAAGGGATATATTTTAACAAAGTAGCTAAGTGGTTTTGGCTACTATAACCATACGGTAGCAGTAATCGATTGGTACCCATCGCAGTCACAGGTAAGAAGTGTAGATCAATGGCGTAGTCCAATCGGCGCCGTTATAGACTTAGCTCTCAGACTAAGGCTCACTTGACTCACCTACACGTCCGTCTGTATTTATGATGGACACCAGCCAATCATATTCCAGTGAGAGGGAACACAGGTGTATGCATATTCCATTATATCAATAATAACAACAAAGATAAGGACAATAGATTACGTGTAGATAATATAAATAAGCATAACTCCTCATCTCGGTAATTCATACATAAACAACAGGAAGTTGTGGAGAGACATGATCACCCACTTTCTGAAGTAAATTAACTATGATATTCAAATACCATTGTTCAAGTATAGGTAAGAGCTAATAATTACGCCTACTTACAACTCATCACTATTTGGCCTTGTGCCAGACTTAAGTAAACTTAGAAGCTGTTCTTTGGAAGCTGATTAAAGAGGACACAATATTCTCTGTTCTTCATGGAACTGTTTTATATAACAATAAACAAAGCTACGCCTTACATAAGCAAAGAATGCACAGATTCCTAAGTGATCTGACACCTGCCATAAATATTAGTGTACCATTCATTGCTGACAATATTTACAAACCTGAGTGCCCTCTCCTCGAGCGTTGGCAAATTATATTAAAGAATACACTCACTCCAGTTCTGACCTCCTGCAGTCTAGCAGATATGGGGTTGATGAAATATACTCAGCCCAACCAAGAACACTTTTTAGTACTTGCATTATTTACATTATTCAGACTGTTATCCTCAACTCCATTGCCATATTCACAACGTTTCGGCCGTTGTACGCTCCGGCCATCTTCAGGTGACTGGAATTTTTCTTCAGTATCTGTCTATATCTCTGAGATTAGGTATCATGATAACTTGCATTATTTACATTATTCGGACTGTTAACCTCATATTCACTGCCATATTTATGTTTCGGCCGTTGTACTCTCCGGGCTTCTTCAGGTGATTGGAATTTCTCTTCAATATCTGATTACACCGTCCCCACTGTAAAGCATGGCGGTGGCTTGATCATGCTTTGGGCTGTTTTTCAGCTGCAGGGCCTAGAGTGCTGGTAACCATCCAAGGTGTCATGGACAGTGTCAAGTACCAAGAAATATTGGAGGCAAACCTGCTGAAGTCTGCTAGAGTTCTGCGTTTGGGTCGCAATTTCAAGTTTCAACAAGATAATGAGCCCAAGCATGTGTCAAAAAGCATTAAAGCTTGGTTTGCTAGCAAGAAAATCACAGTTTTGGAGTGGCCTAGCCAGTCTCCAGACCTCAATCCTATAGAAAATCTATGGCGAGATCTAAAGCTGGCTATGCACCGACGTTTCCCATCTAATCTGACACAACTCGAGAAGTTCTGCTTGATTTTAAGTTGATTTTAAGTTTTTCAAATGTATTTTGTGTATTAAATAAAAGTGTGATAGATCTGCTTATTAAAACAAATTATTGGAGTTTAAATTATTAATTGTTCCTATCAAAATAAACAAAATACATCCAGTTTTCAAGGGGGAGTAGACTCTTACAATGCACTGCATATATATATATATATATATATATATAGAGAGAGAGAGAGAGAATGAGTGGGAGATAGAGAGAGAGAGATAGATAGAGATAGATAGATAGATAGAGAGAGAGAGAGAGAGAAAGAAAGACCTGAAAGATATTACTTTCGCGGTACTTTTTTTGGTGAAAGGCCTTTTTTTTGTTGAACTGACAATGTTTTTTTCATTGACGAATGTAGACGACTGGCGTCCCACAAACCTATTTTCAGTTATTGATCTTTTGTATGATATAAAACTTAAAATAGCCGCAATCAATATCCACTTGTGACTGTTTTTGTTTGATTAAGAACCATCAAATGGAGTTAGTATTTACCAGAACAACTCAGTGTGATTGTTCAGTTAAGACGATAACATTCTGTACGTGATTTATCACAATTGTTGCAAAGAGATGACAAAAGGCTGACATACCCTTCGCAAATATCTTTCAATACAAAAGGAAATAGTCTTTTCGAAAGAAGGAAAATGAAAGGAAATTTGTGACAGAAACAGATGAATAGAAACGACATTAATATATATATATATATATATATATATATATGTGTGTGTGTGTGTGTGTGTGTGTGTGTGTGTGTGTGTGTGTGTGTGTGTGTAGGCAGCATATCTTCATTCAAGCATGTTTGGTTGATTAATCCAGACATATTATGTCTATGTTTTTTTTTTTATTTTAATCCTCTCAAATTCACGCTGTTACAAAACTGATTAAGAAAGACGCCGTAGTTTTTTTTGTTTTTGTTTTTGTTTTATTTTCCTAATTACTTTCAATCTAATCCAAGATCAGCTTCTGGGGTGAATTGCTAAGAAAAAAAATTAATGTAATCGATACTTGTGATTTTTTTTTTTTTTTTGTAAAAAGGCGCAATAAACGCGCTCTGTTGATGCAAAATTAACATTATCAAGGAAAGTAACTTAATTCATATTAGTATTTTTTAAACGTGCATTTAAGTATTTTAAAACATTGCTGTTGTAATTGTAATTTTTTTCAAAAAATTACAATTTATGTTTTTTAAAACCTTAGTGTTATAGTCAATTTAAAATATTGTTTCTATACTCATAATTAATTTCATTAATATTTTCTTATATAGCGGGCTTTAAGCATTTGAAATTTTTTTTATTTTCATTGTAGAGTATACTTGTATTGGCAATTAATAATCGTGAAGGTGGACAAGAATGTTTTTTTAAATGTGCAATACATATATATATATATATATATATATATATATATATATATATATATATATGCTTGTGTGTGTGTTTACCTTTTCTAGTCTGTAGCCAATTTAGCCTGTCTCTATATATGAAACAAAAACATATTTAAAACCCCGATTGTCTTGAGGTTATATTCATTTCATGGGAAATGCATCGGGAGTCAAGCCCGAGGCAAAATCTGAAGTCAGTGTCCTTGGGGAAGTTCATACCTATATTCACCAACATCCTGGTAATTTCTGCGATGGCATTCGAACAATGTATATGTTCATTTGTCTTTCCAATATACCATAGAGAATGGGGAACCAACTGCATGGGTAACAGTCAGGCACTATATCTATCGACCCAGGTTTTGTGAACTGGAGAGACAGAGAGAGGCTGACATTCTCGGATAGACCCCCACCTAAAAACCACAATGGATGCTACGTCTCAAAACAAACCAGAGTACAGTTTTATAGTATCCTGAGATTAATGAATCCAAATAACCAGACAGATACACACACACACACACACACACACACACACACACACACACATACACACATACATATATATATATATATATATATATATATATATATATATATATATATGTTACTCTACTAATATTTATATATATGTGGGGGGTAACTCTACTAATTGGATTCACTTAAATAGATAAATACATATAACATGAAAATTTCGTGTATTTATATCTTTTCAAAATACAAACAAAATTCTCACTTGATCGAGTGTCGCGGCATCGCATGCTCCAAACATATATTCAACTGTTGATAAATAACGTAATTTAAAAAAAAAGATCTTTCGGTCTACACATCGTTTGTCCTAGTGTTTGGCTATATATAGGAAAAGTGTCTTCCATCTGACAACTCGAATATAAGGATCTTATTATTCAAGGAATTGATAGTAAGTTAATGTTTCATTAAGTCCTGTTAGCGAAGTGATTTCGCCATTAATCACATTAACATTGATATTTAATTCTTTGTATAAATTGTTTCTTGATGATATAAAATATAAGCTGAAAACTCTACTATATATATATATATATATATATATATATATATATATATATATATATATATATATATATATATATATGTATGTGTGTGTGTGTGTGTATGTAAGGTCTATCTGTAATGTAATAACTGAATCATTTATTCAGCATATATACTGGATAATGTGTTAATCGAATATATGTTTCCATGGCATATATCTTTTGGTTGCACGAGGTCTGGTACATTCTTTTTTTGTTGATTGAATTGCGTTTTACCGCTAAAAAATATCTACAAAAGGTTGCTGAACATTCAAAGGCTATTTAAAGCCAGAAATATTTTTAGATTATAATGAATTTTTGGAGATAATAATGATTTGCTGATACAAGTTCTTCTATCTAACCCATAGATGGGGGAGAAGAGGTGGATTCATGCATTTCCAAAGGGTATTTGCGCGTTATTTATTATACCCCATAGTTTTCCGAAAGTGTTCGGAGTAATATGATAGAGATGTTAAAATGTAATTCTTTCCGACACGAGAAATGAAGCTAGCCAACAGCGTTCGTTCTCGACCGAAGCTCAAAGAGCCTTGCAGAATGTATGAATATAGAAAATCAAGGTGAGTCATTTAGCCTTACTTAGCAATTCGTCTAGGAGGCAGACATCTCTGATGCCAAGCCAGATGTGGAGCTCCTATAGGCAGATCAGTCAGGAATTCTCTTTTCTGGCTACGCTTACAACAAAAAGGTCGCCACTATCATCAGGCTACAGAGAATAAGCAACCATCTTAGAGGCTGTGAAAGTAAAATCGATCTTCCATATGTAACGAAATTGCCACCTTAAAAAGGACATTCATATATAGGTTACTGTGCAAATTGATTCGTCCCAACTGAAACTATAATCAGAATGATAGTCAATAAGCGAAAATTATTTTGTTAGGATTTATTAGAATTAGGAAAACGGCATATTATTTCAAAGACTAAAAGAGCAGAGAAGATTCACGCGGGGAATGTTCAAATTTGGTCGACAGGGAAAAGACGATAGACATATATATATATATAGTAAGACTAATGAAACCAGATTTTTTTATTAGTTTTTATTAGTCTTACTCTTATGTCTATCGTCTTTTCATGTTGACTTGTATATCGTCTAATGTTAATTATGTTTTAATAACTATGTCCTGAAGAAGGTCTACTAGACCGAAACGTCTAGCGTCAACATTGAAATAACATTAAAACAGCATATTTGCATATTCGGTTTTTCCGTATATTTTTCTTCATATATATATATATATATATATATATATGTGTGTGTGTGTGTGTGTGTACACACACACACACACACATATATATATATATATATATATATATATATATATATATATATATATATAGGGAGCGTTTTAAGCTGTAAAATTTCACACCAAAATTCAAACTCGCATTGGGATAGCAGAAATGTTTTCCAAAAAGCTAAGCAAAGTATTAAAAAAAAAAAAAAGGAAAAGTTCGTCATGAATAAAGAAAAGAGTTCTGAAGTGTTATGTAATATCGATTCTCTGATATGACACTGAATAATGGACCCCTCCCCCAGACAAAGAAGCCTGGGGGCAATAGGAATGTAGTTCTACAGGAGGATGCTGAGAATTCCATAGATGAAGCGTGTAACACGGAAAAAGTCTTAAAGGAAATGGAATCAGAAACAGAGCTGAAATTTCTGAAACTCAAAATAAGGAGGGAAGGTTTGGAGAATTTGGCACTCTCAGTACATATCGAAGGCAAATAAGACAGGGAAAATAGTAACAGATGGTGAAGCAAGAGTGGAGGGATACTAAGAAGAAAATGTTACTAAGAGCTACAAAGAAAAGGTAGTTGTGGAGATCCGTGATCGCTCACGTCTTGAAGGGACACGATACATAGAAGAAAACGATCCACATATCCAACATCCATTTACATTAACATAAAGCTGCAGTGAGAGACACCTAGTGAGGATCGTAGCCATTACATTAGCAAACTGGTGTATGAAACGATCGTGCTAGAGTCAGCGCACGAACAAAATGAGCTCTTAACAAAAATCCAGGATAACGACCAATAATGTGGGCGGATGTTACGCCTATTCTACTTACTAGAATAGTAGGCGCTGTTAAAACAAATGAAAAAGTAAAGAAACATTCCACAGTGTCTCTGGAGAGGTAAGAAAACTTCACAACACCTGAACTTCTCTTGACTAATCGGTACATCATGGCCGCCGACTCATAATATGTTCTTGCAAGGAACACTTGAGTTCAGCACTTGTTATCATGTAACCAGGGCGTTAGATTCAAACGGAACCCTTTACTTGACACTTTATATTATACCAAATTAAGATAGACTTTATATTTATTATCGGTATATATATATATATATATATATATATATATATATATATATATATATATATATATATGCATACGTATATTACGTCCAAAATGATTTATCTCAGGATTAGTTAAAGAGACAGGAATTAGACTGAGTTTAGGAGAGAGAGGGTAAGAAAGTGATATGGAAGGTTGGAAACAGATAATAAAACAGGGAGGCGAAATTTACTGTTGAAGCCGAAGTAAACCTTTTTTCGCTTAAATTAATGTTGTTGTCCAGTTATCTTGTCTGCTTATGAAGCGATCGCATTGAGTATCCAAAGTTGGCAACTATAATCTAGGTACATTTTGTTAAAACTTTAAAACAGACATTTTTCTATCTATCTATCAATCTATCTATCTATCTATCTATCTATCTATCTATATATATATATATATATATATATATATATATATATATATATTCATATTCATGGATATAAAACCAAGGGACAGATGAAGTCTAAGAAAAGAATTATTCATTGGTGGATCGAAAAATATAGCAATAAAAAAGAAATACGAAATATGGAGTCACGAGTTAACGCTGATCGCTCTTCACAGCCAATGGAGGATAAAAATCTATGCATTTTTAAAGATGTCTTCGATTATTTATAAAAGCAGAGACCGTTTTTACTTGGCGCTTAGCCATTCTTATGAATTCGAACCTTACAAAGTAACTCATTATTACATCTTTGAGCCAGACTATTCTAAACATTATACTTTTATTATTTTGGAATGCTATTATGTACATTATTTACATTATTCGAACTATTGTTCTCATCTTTGTCGCCATATATATTACAACATATCGGCTGTTGTACGCTCCGGCCTTCTTCAGCTGATTGGAATGTCGAACTGAATCCTTTATTTCGCTCACTGAGGTAGAATGTTCTAGTTCCACGTGCCATGTTTAATGGATGTCAGTTATCAGTTATCTCCTGTTAATTCCCCTCTCCAAGTTCTCCACTGCCTTAACCGGGTATTGAACTTACACTCTTTGGGTACTGTCACTGGATCTAACTAACGCCTTTATCCACTGTGCCATGTGCCACACACCTGAAGAAGGCCGGTGCGTACAACGGCCCAAACGTTGTAATAAATATGTTGACAAAGATGAGGACAATAGTCCGAATAATATAAATAATGTACATAATAACCTCATCCCAGAAATATAGACAGTTATCGTCTTAGTTGATATCAACACCAGAACACAGGAGACATCGTGAAATTGACTCCTGGAGTTATTGTAATGTGTGACATTGTCCGATAAGTCAAGTTAACAGTTATTTTTGTGCTGATGGTAGGTTCATATATATATATATATATATATGTTACAAATGTAGCGAAAGTGATCTACTGTTTATCAGGTGCTGAATACGAAGAAATATACTCTTAAGGTGTGCTATATATATGGGATAAAGTGCTCAATATCAGAGATAGAGCGTGTGTAAATATAAAAGGGAATATTGAAGTCAACACTTAGAGGCGATTAAGGACTCATGACACCTAACAAGGACACATGGCACAGTGGATAAAGGCGTTAATTAGATCAAGTGATAGGACCCAAAGAGTGTGAGTTCAATATCTGGTTAAGGCAGTGAAGAACATTCAGAGGGAATTTAACAGGAGATAACTGACATCCATTAGACATGGCACGTGGAACTAGAACAGTCTACCAAA